TAAACTTATTCTTTTTATTTCTTTTGGATAATTTTATTGTTAAACTTATATTTTAATTCATTGATTAAAGTATAAAATTTTAAAATTTATCCATTTCAATAATTCAAATGAATATTATATATATATAGCTCTGTCGTAGTAAATAATAAATGCATAAAATGTTATCAAATTTTGCGAGAAAGTATCAAAAGGGGGTGAAAATAAAGTTTTGGCATGATGAAGTGATGTGTGGGAAAATATAACATGAAGGAATACATTTTCATATCCTCAGAATGCAATAATTTAGATGTTTTAATAGATTAAAACTATGAAGCAGAAGACATTCAACAACTGAATTAAATATACGACAAAGCTAATCTGACGAGATGTAAGTTACATGTATCATATGATTCTATTTTCTCTCCTCATTATATAAAGGGACTAATGTCTAACTACTAATATACATGAAGAAAAACATGAATGAAGTGTAATCTCCCTAATTTTGGTTTTTGATTTGTCTGAATTTGGTAATGCAGGGGGTCATATTAACCCAGCAGTGACATTTGGGCTGTTCTTGGCACGCAAACTGTCTCTGACAAGAGCAATATTTTACATAATTATGCAGTGCCTGGGAGCTATATGTGGGGCAGGTGTAGTTAAGGGCTTTCAGCCAAACGTGTACGAGAGAGTTGGTGGTGGTGCCAATTCAGTCGGTGCAGGGTATACCAGAAAGGCTGGCCTCGGAGCAGAGATTATTGGTACATTTGTGCTTGTTTACACTGTTTTCTCTGCCACTGATGCAAAGAGAAATGCTAGAGACTCCCATGTTCCAGTAAGCAAAACTTTTCCCTTATTTGCAGCTTCTTAGTTCTTGTTTTGTGATCACGAATCTAATAATAGAAATATGAATGGATTAGATATTGGCACCATTGCCTATTGGGTTTGCTGTCTTTTTGGTGCACTTGGCTACAATTCCTGTTACAGGGACTGGTATCAACCCTGCTAGAAGTCTTGGTGCAGCCATTGTATACAACAACGACTCAATTTGGGATGAACATGTGAGTTATCTTTAATTTTCTTTAGATTTCTTTCTGCTTGCCTTTCTTTTTGTTTTCACTTCTTATAAACGTATTTTCTCTATAGCCGGAAAAAAACATTAACAAATCAGTAATTCAATTTAGTGACAAAAACTATCATATCATTCGTGTAATTAAGGCAACAAATTTGATTAATAATTTTTATTTTTCCTTATTAAGAGTGTGTATTTAAAAAATAGTTTAAATTTTCCAAATTGTACCGTTGTGATGCAGTGGATTTTTTGGGTTGGGCCTTTCATTGGAGCAGCACTTGCAGCTTTGTACCATCAGGTAGTGATCAGGGCCATCCCCTTCTCGTCCAAGTGATTCAACAGAGGGTAAATTGAAGCAATGCCTCAAAAATAAAAGTAGTAATTTCCATGTAAAATATGTTCCTATCACTTCTGCTAATGATTTATTACTACTATTGTTAATGTATGTTTTATTTATCTGTTTAAATTTCCTGTATTCGGATACGCTAAAGAACTTGTTGAAACAGAGGTAAGCATGGTTCATTTCTCTCTATTTTTAAGAGCATCCCTACACAAAGTAGAAACTGTATATGATCGTATATAATATTATATATATATATA